TTTTCTTTACACTCTCTCCTACCTTTAATGACTTTAAAGATGAGTATTTTCTCTGTGTAATTTCCCTTTAATGGCAGTCTTTTTTGCTTACTTAGAAATAGCGGTTCTGTGATTCCACTAGGAGCTTGTCTAAAGCCATTTGTACTTGTCTGAGGTACCAAGTGTGGAAGGAGAAACTTAACTCCTTGCTACTTGCTGGACTGAAAGGGGAAAAATGTCCATACTCGCTTCTGTATCCCTCCTCTTCCCCTTCCTCTTGTACCCCACTTCTCCTCCTGGGACTGATTTGACTTTGTCTCTGTCCCTCATCTTTTCAGTACCCTGGGGAACCCATACTGTGTGGGGGAGATATCTTAGTGTGAGTTGGCTCTGCTGCTATTCCCTTGTCTGCAGTTCTCAGGCAAGAAAACAAAACACCTAAGTTCTAAACTTGATGCCTAAAATTAAAGACTGCTAAGAAAGAGTCCAGTACTGGTAAAAAGTACTGATTACTTTTGAGTGCCATTTTATTTCCATTTAATCCAAGAATTCCTGAGGAAAGAGAACATTTTGGGAGATGTAGGTCTAGATTCATTTGAGAGTGATTAATTTTTTGAAGTGTGCGAGTGTGTGTGTATGTGTGTGTGTGTAATGGTCCTATGTATCATGAGACTTACTCAGATTAATAAGGAGTTACATAGTTTGGTTGCCAGATTGGAGCCTAACATCTCCCATAACTCTTCTTTAATCCTCTATCTGTATTGTAAAAGTAGGGGAAAATAATAGGAGTGAATTAACTACTTTTCTTTTTACTATGTTGGTTGTGTGTTTAAAAACAATAGAAAACAGTCCTTTATAAGTAAATTCATAACTACTTAGAAAAAACTACCAACAAAATGTAGGCTTTCTCCATGATATGGCCTCAGACTATCTTTCAGTATCTCCCTTTCATATATATATCCTTTTCTCCCTTCTCAGTTACTCTTTTTCTACCTCTGTGTCTTATATACTTTTTTTTGTCTTGTACTACTTTTTATACTTGTGTTGTAAAAATTTTTTATCATGAATCAATCATGTATTTATAATAAAGCAAGTATAGTGCAAAAAAGTGATTTTTTCTACCCGAACCATTTGAAAATAAGATGCTCTCCTGATGCCCACATTCTACAAATGTATTCTTACATATAATCACAATATAGTGAACAAAATCAGGATGCTAACACTGACATGACACTGCCATCTACTTCTAAAACCCGTTCAGGTTTTGTGAGTCGTTCCACTAGTGTCTTTCATAGCAGAAGGATCTAGGTCAGAGTTGTGTTGCTTATAGTTACCATGTCTCTTTAGTCTTAGTCTGGAATAGTTCCACAGTTCTTGGATTACGATGATCTCAACAGAGCACATTTCTTCTTAGCTTTAATTAATATTTTTATAGACCCATGGTTTCTGATATTATTGAGTGGCTTATGTAATCTGTTACTATCATCGTTTTGATGCTCAAAGTGTCTTCAGTATGACTGGTAGGATCTCTTTGTGTTTTTTGAGCACTTCCTTGTTTTTGGCATGACTTACCTTGTGCTTTCCCTGCCCCAGCCCTGGAATCAGCCATATCTCTAAGAAGCCCCGGTTCAGTTCAGTGGAGAAGGGTATTAGTGCTGCATGTGCTCACTGCTTTTGAGATTCCATGGCTTCCAAGCCTTCCCAGTAGATGGTGCTGTGGAGTACCTTTGATTCCAATCAAACACCAAAGGACTCAGTTTTCTCCTATTCCGTATTTTAACTCCCTTCTCTGACTCCAGTCTGACTCTCTTCTCTAGCTCCAGTTATCCTTAATATATTTATTTCTTTGATCAGACCCCATGTATACAACTAACCTCTCACTGCCGTTCCACCCACTCCACTGGGTGATGCCCTCCTCGTGCTACGTAGGCTCTGTCGCCCCATGCCAGGCCCTTCTCGTGCAGAGACGCCCTCTCACCTGACCGGCTTTGACACCCTGCTCTGGGCTGCTGCAGCTCGCTCTCTGCCAGTACACGATACAGGCCTGTTGGATTTAGTTGTCATGTCTTTTTAGTTTCCTGTAATCAGTAGTGGTTCCTCAGCCTTTGTCATTCACAATATTGATGCTTTTGTCATTATAGGTCAGTTATTTTATACAGTATTCTTCAGTTTTGATGAGTTTACTCATTATTTGCTCTCTACATAACTTTAATCTTTTCCAGCTGAGGATAGACTCCCTCTTGTGATTTTCTGTATTGATTTTCATTATTTGTGTGCCTGCCTTATTTACCCTACAAAACATGAAGTTCCTTGAGGACAGAATCTCTTTCTCTTATTCATCTTTTAAATTTCATTGTACTTAATACTGTTTTTGACACATGCGTGTATTGGATGAATAAAGGAAAACAATAAAATAGTGTAATATCTAGCATTCAGTAGTTTGTTCCATAGTGTTCAGTTATTTTATAAGTAAGTCTTCTCTAGGAGGTAAATTTCTTTTCTAGAGGAACATTTAAAAATTTTCTTGTGCTTTTGATTTGGGGGATTGCCAATCAGCTAAACTGTATGCAGGGCTCCTAGGAACTCAAATTCAAAAACCCCAATTAATTTTAGAGAATCATTCACTAAAAAAAAGTTAAAAACCTACTGTTCCTCACTAAGTTCTGGGCCCGAAAATTAGGTCTAAAAATTAGTCTCTCTAAGCCTTAATCCTCCCATGGAATTACATACATTCACAAGGATTGAACATTCACAAGCCTTAACCTTGCAGACAGTCCTTAGGGTTCTTTGTGAGAGCCAGCGGCTGCAAGGGACTGGTTCTCACAGTGCAGTCCTATAACGAGCATCCCTTGCAAACTTGTTAGAAGTAAAAATCCTCAGACCTGCTGTCATAAGAAACTCAGTGGGTGGAGCCCAACAACCTGTGCTTTAACAAGCCCTTCAGTGATTCTGACACATGCTAGAGTATCCAGAGTGAGGGCTTTCCAGCCCCAAAGCATACCATCGTGCTGTGAGTGAGTCACGGGTGTGCCAAGGTCCTTACCAGCGCCTTGGGATGGCTTTAGTTTCAAGAAGGCTTCTCTTTTTTTATCCCCGTGTGCCATACAGGTAGAGTTTTTTATGTTGTGCTCTTGTGTGAGAAAAGGTAGGAACACTGATCAAAACAACTACCATTTCTTCTTTAAACACTTTCTTAGCTTAGAACAACTTGTGCAGTACATTTTTTTCTGAGGTTTACACTTTCTTATTGGAATAGGTTTCTGCAGTATCTCAGGAATATTCCGTGCTTTTTGTTGTTGTTTGCTTATGGCATTTTTGTGTGTTTTTTATGATGTATAGTAGATAAAACCATGAAATAAGTCTCCATATTCAATTGGAGACATGCACGTATTGTTTTAACTGCCTTTTTTGTTTTCCAGGGAGTTCCAGTTAGACTTGAAGTTGGGCCACGTGATATGAAGAGCTCTCAGTTCGTAGCTGTCAGACGAGATACTGGAGAAAAGCTGACAGTTGCTGAAAATGAGGCTGAGACTAAACTTCAAGCTATTTTGGAAGACATCCATGTTAACCTTTTTACAAGGTTAGTTCTTTAGAACTGTTATGTCTCATTTTGAAATTTTACTCTGCCTTTGTGTTCTACACTGAAGAGTTACTTGCTTACCCCAACTGGAAGTAATCGCCCCTCTGAACTCGCATGGGTCTGCATTCACCTTTCTTTTCATGCTTTGACTTGTATTACGATTATTTTCCTAACTGCTGTCTGTTCCTTGTTAGGTTTGTAGTGATGGACTGTCCCATGGACTAATCTGGTTTAACTCTAGATCCAGGCTTTTAGGCCATACAAAATTTGAGGGATTGAGGCATTGATTCTTACATACGGAAAACACATTAGCAGTACAAGGGAAGCTTTCAAACATAACAGCATCTGGTCTGTTCCCCAGAAATGTTTATTTAATTGGTCTAGAGTGGGCCTGGCAACTGGAGCATTAAAGCTCTGTAGGTGATCATGATGTGTAGCCAAGGCTAAGCACTGCTGACTGGGATTGTGGGTGAGGGTAGAGGGGAGCCTCGGGGCTGCCCTGACCTATGGAGAGAGGCCTTTTAGAATCGCACATCTCAAGGCAGAGGCACTAGAAGATTGGTAGCATATGTGTGGCACCTTATTTACTTCCTGCCCACTTGAAGCAAAGAGGGAGGCCCACCACTGCTGGGGATAGAAGCTCAGTTTGGGAGACGGTTGTTTGTACATCTTATTTGTTTGTTTATCTTCTTATACCCTGTGCCTTACCTCATCAGGCCTCCATAAATCTTTTATTTAAGGAGTGACCTAATTTTAGCCTTGGCTTTGGTGCTTGCTTACATGTTTTTAAGCAAGTGATTTTTCTTCTTTTGGCTTGCTTGCCCTAAAATGGGAATGATAAGTCTCTTGAGGGGTTACTTCAAAGATATAATTGACCTCCAAATGAGTGATCCTTTTGAAGTTCATCAGACTCAGAACAGGTAATTTTGTCAGAGATGAAAGATTATACAGTTGCCTGCCTGATCGCTGCCGTTCAGCTGGTACATTTAGTGCAGTGGTTCTTTTCCGGGGATTCTCTCCAGAGTCACCTGGAGCTTTGGCCACAGAAACACCTGGGCCTCACACCTGACATTCTGATTCATTAGCCTTCACATAGGCTCTGGTGATCTGTTGTGTTGATATGTTCTTTATATGATTCACATGCACATGCCTGGTTGGAAAACCACAGCTTTAATGGCTAAAAAGTATCTTTTTTTTGTTAACATTTTTATTCAGTGAATTTCCCAATATAAGGCCTAAGCCTGAGTAGTGGCATATTTCTTTTCTGGGTTTCATTAACTGTAACTTAGTCATATGGGCTCATCTCATGACAAGAAAGTTGGAAGAAGGGGAAAGATTTGGTGACAGCTAGCTGTTGCTGGCACAGAGTTCACATGCTCTTAGCCCTGAGATTTGGAAAATGTGTCTTCTCTTCCTTGGTCACCACCCATGAGTTGTCTTCATATAATATGTGAGTTTGAATGTGGAAGATAATTTTCCTTTCTAAAACTTGAGGTTCTTACAGAATGACGTGGTATGTAAAGATAGCTTGAACAATGTGTATTTATGTGTTTTTCTTTCTCAAACCAGTTTCATGCTTTTATGTTTGATTCTTAGAACAATCCTTTATGGTAATTAGACTTGCTTGAGTATTTTTCCAGTTTTGCAGAAGGGAAAACTAAGACCAGGGAGGTTTTAAAAAAACCCAGATCCTCATAAGTAGTAAGTGGTATTGTCAGGAATAGAGTGTTGGTCAATAGAGTTTTTTAATGGCAATAACAAAATTATTACCAGTTGAGTGCTTGGCAATTTCTCCATTCATTTAATGTTGACAATAATGCAGTAATAATCAGTTAACAAATTTTTGTGAATGTCTCCAATAGTGACAAAGATGAGATTCAAAATGAGTTCTCGTTTCTAGGTTATTGTCCTATGAACTTTGCGATATTAGTAAGAAAAAGTATGTATTCTTTTCTAATTATTTTTTGATAGGGCTTCAAAAGTATATATTCTTTTCTAATTATTTTTTGATAGGGCTTCTGAAGACCTTAAGACTCCCATGGTTGTGGCTAATACAATGTGGAAGATTTTCAGAAGGTTCTAGATTCTGGAAAGGTAGGAGACTTCTGAAAAGCTTTGAATATAAAAATAATTCAGTATATGTTATTTTAAGACTCAACTTATACATGGTATTAATCTCTTTTTCAAGGCAGTCACACAACAGGATTATTTACTTAGCATTATATACTCTTTTCCACTGGCTTTCCTTAAGCATTACAACATTATATCATTTTGGATAATACTGTGAACTGATTACATAAAAGCTTTTTCTCATGCTTGATGTGCTGGCTAAACAACATTCTATATGACTCTACTGTTTTCATTATTGAACATTTTAATTTCATTTTTTCAGCTTAGTGTAAATTCCTAAGGTGAGCATTGTTTCAGCTTTAGAAATGTAATGTGCAGATTCCTAAAATGAGGATAAAAGAGTTTCTTTCAGTTCTCTGACCGTACTTGCCAGACCTTAGTTGACTGAATAAAAAGGGGAAAAGTATTGTTCACATCTAACCTTGTTTTTCAGTAAGTACTCTGGATCCTTAGAACTGCATAGGTCTTTCTGATTGAATAGTTAATAGTTCTTTAAGATTTTTTCAGCTTTATATGTTCTGTGTATGTACATGTTCCTAGCCAAAACTTAATTTTCAGGAAGAAGTACTGATGTGCAAAATCACTAATTAATAGAGTGAATCACTTATGAACTTTAGTATTCTGGTATACATATTTTACAACCAGTGCTATGTCCCCAGGTTATAAATGAGAAAACCATAGGCCAGAGTCTAAATGAATTACGTACCCCAAGCTATACAGAAGCAGACATGACACTAGAATTTAGATCTCTCTTCTGACAAAGTTTAAAGCACTTGCCTTTGTATCTTTCTTTCTTTTCTTCTTTTTAAAATTCATGCTGGGAGTATAACATACGTTTTAATACTATGGTCATAACCTCTTAATGTGTCTCTTATTGCATTATCTGGGAAAATATTAATCTCTCTGGCTCTTTATGTTATTAATCTGTATGTTATCTCGAAACAGATCATTTTACAATCCCCTTCAGATCTATAATTCAATATTTAGCCTTCTCTTCTTGGTTGATTGTCTTGATAATCTTCCACCTTTCTGGTTTCTATCATTGGTCACTTGAGCCAAACTACATACTTCTAATAGAGGGCTAGAGAATGAATAGCCATCTGGTGAAGTGTATATTTTTCCTTTCACTGTAATTTATTTATGATTATTTT